CTCATGACTTCCAGCTGACCTCACAGGAGGCACCTGTGTGCAAATTAAACTGGTGTCCTTCCACATAAATAAAAACCACAGGTTAGGACTGACAGCCACATCTTAACAGGCTAAGCAACACACAGGGGTCCAATTTGCTGTCGGCATTGGTAAAAGCCTGGAAGAGCCAAGAACAGGGGACTTAGGAGAACCTAGAAAGGAGCCCATCTGCCAAAGAGAAGGAAGCAGGGCAGATGACCGGCCACCAAAGTCACTTCTGACCTTCACGCTCACTGTCCAGCCACCTCTGCTTAGAGTCACCCAAGCTGACTGCTCAAACTTCTCACCTGTCGGCGGTGTAGGAGGGGAACGATTCAGAAAGGGGGCCCCAGGCCCTGACGGTGCACAGCTTGGTTAACTCTGGCTCCAGATTCTGTGATGAGGCAGTAGGACCTGCCTGGGGAAAAGTACAAGCCTAGAAGTCAGAGCCAGAATGAAGCCCCATTTCACTGCCTGGGTGACCTGGTCCTTTCCCCTCATCAGCAAAGCCAGGATAACAGGTGCCCTAGGGCCATAAAGTGAAAGCTGGGAGGGACCCAGCTTGCAGGTAACACAGAGTCCAGGGAGAGTAAATGCTTGCACAAGTTTGCACAGCTGGGTAGCAGAGGGACTCCTGACTGACAAACTGCCTTCCTTCAAGTTCACTGCAGTTTGTGCATGGCCACAGAAGAGTTAGAATAAAGATAATCTGTGTGAAATGTTTTGGGAAATTAAACATACTAGCTAAAGGGGAGCTGTTGTCCATACTATTCATCTTTTCACTCCTTAGTCCTGTTCTGCTCTAAGGGGAACATCTCCTGTGACAGCGGGCTCTTGGCAAGGGTCAGCCATGCCACCAGCACCAGCTGGTGGTGCTGCCATCCCAAGTTACAGAGCCGGGGATGGAAGGAAGCTCTTAGCCCCAGAACTGTGACCTGGGAGGTAACCTGATTGGCTCCAGTCTCTCCCAGTGCACTTCCACACTCCAGTGGCAGTAGGCAATAAGGCTTCCTGGGGAAAGAGAATCTGTTTTGTGAATAATAATTCCGCCTCTAATCCATGAAGCATGCCAGGCCAGTAATCTGCTAAGCGCTTGAGAGAGACCTATTTGGCTTTTGCTTCAGCATACCCATGGAAAGCTCCGGTTCACCCCATTTCCAGACCTTTTGTGCTCCCACCAGTTTAACTAATGTGCAAACATATTCCCGAACAGCCTCCAAAACAGATTATTACCAACAGACTGGAGGATGACGCAAATGGAGGCCATCTCCATAAGTGAAACAAGTTGAGTCAAAAGGGATCATTTGTGTGGCTTAAATCACAGAGGTGGGCAACATCCACAGGACTGGATTCCTAGTGGCTGGTGCTAGCAATTTAACCTGGTTTTTTATTGACCCAAGCCTTGGGTGGGTCTAGTCCTTTCACTTCAAGAGTCCCCACCCCACTCCCACATCCCCACCCCACCCCCACCCTGCCCTGACACACACACAGATGGCAAAGCCACCACCGCACATTCCTCTTCTTTGGTGGTCCCCACTGGGACACAGTACCATTGGTATAATTAGGAAGACACCAGAGAGAATTCAGCTCCATGTATTTTTTATGAGAAATGAGTCGGTGTGTTTTTTTTCTCCTCACACTCTCCCAAAGAAAGGGACTATAGCAGAGGGAATTGCACCCTTAGATAAGCAATTCCAGGATACGGTTAGTGAGAAAAGACAGCAGGCAGTGGATGGGAAACCATTGAGCTATTAATCAGAATTCTCTTATCCAGCCTAATTCAGGTTCAACAGTTGGGACACCCTTCATGGCCTCCCTGACCTCCTCTACGTCACCCCCACCCAACCTTCCATTCCCATTAAATTAATGATGCCTTTCAATAAAAAGCCTATGCCTAGAAAACCATGCTGGGTCTATCCCTCAGAGAGTGTCCTAAACTACCCATCTCATCACCAACACAGCTGCTTTGGGGAGAATACAGATGTACCACTTCTCATATGCAATGCCCAACTTCCCCACCACAACAACCAGGCCAAGGGGTGAGTCACAGACTTTGGAAGCTTCTTGGTCAGTTTTGACTCAATTGTGTCCATCAGTGTTTTGTTCCTATGTTATCCATTCTGTCACCATTAAGAATAGAGAGGAGTCAGAAGGGGACTCCTTATTGCTGTAACCAGATGATTTGCTGGATCATCTTGAGTAAGTCATATTCCCCAAGTCTGTTCCCTTATTTATGAGTTATGAGGGTTGAACTGGATGACCTTTGTGGTCTTCCTGCGCTATGAGCCCTCCTCCCATCCCACCTTCCTCCCACCCCCACTGCAAGTGGGAGGTCAAAGTGCTGGGCTTCTTGTTTTTATCATCAGCTCCTGGAGGTAAAATGAACACAGGTGAGATTTACAACTCATTGAACTCACTTTGCTGCTAGGGAGGAGCTCAAATACTTCACTGCACAAAGGCTGTGCCTTCAGGCAGGAAAGGCAGCATTACCCCCAAGGCATAGATAGGAAAACTGTGATCCAGAGAAGCTAAATGTCATGCACAAAGTTCCAACTGTCTTTTTTTTTTTTTTTCTCTGAGAGAGAGTTAGAGAGCAGAGAGGGGCACGGAGAGAGAAGGAAAGAATCTCAAGCAGGCTCCACACTATCAGTGTGGAGCCCAAAGTGGGGCATGAACTCACAAACCTCAAGATCATGGCCTAAACTGAAATCAGGAGTCAGATGCTTAACCAACCCGAGCTACCCACGTGCCCCTAAAAAGTCCCAGCTGTCTTAACAAGTGATACCAAGAGGCCCAGGAGCCAAATCTTCAGTTTCCTGGCGCTGACCTCCCCCACACCATGACGGATGTTATGAAAAGGCATTATTTCAGGTGTCATCCAAAGCTTGAAAAGAAAATACTAAATAAAAAATCAAGTCTTTATGGGAGCAAATCATAGCTGTAGTCCACTAATACTCATATTATTATCTATGACCGAGAGATGGTAGTGAGAGCTTTGATGTGAAACCCTTTCCAACGAGAAAGCTATGGATAACTGGCGTTCTTCCTATCGACCAATCTACTTCGTGACCGTGGAAATCAGAAACCACGTCAGGGGTACTCAGGATTGACAGCAAAGTACTTCCAACCTGACATACACAGAGCTTGAGGAGAAACCCTGCTTTCCTAACCGACAAGGTAATCTTGACACATTTACAAATGTGTTTATGGCTCTGCCAATGTTTAACAAGAACCTGTGGAAGCCAAAGAGCTGTTCTATTTATCTGCAATTTTTCAATGCCATTGCTCTAAATAGCAAATGGTTTATTTTAAAAATTTGAGGGTTTTTTTTAAGTAAAATTTCATTTCCCATATGTGTAGGAGAAGCTCTTTTAGGCTGAAATCATTCAGCTGAGTTATCTGAGCCAAAATGATATTTTCCTCACTAACATAAAATCATCTAGAAATGTGCTCACAGAGAAGAATGTCATTCCCAACGTGTACTCAAATTCACTCTGAAGAATCCCAACATTCACTTTAGGGATGATTTTGTTCTTGTAAATGATCAGTCTCACTCATTTAAGATCGCTACAGAATCCACACAAGCCACCCAGAGCATTTGTCATTGGGATTCCAAAGTACATTAAAACACACAACACAGATAAAAGCAAGGGCTGTTCTGGGTTTAGAACATCTCAACATCAGCTACTCTTCACTGGAGGGGTAAGCGGTAGGCAGCTGGATTCTCAAAGAGGAAGAGCTGGAGTACTCACCCACTACTAACACTGATCTAGCAGCCAAGGGGCATCATTATGCCACCAGCAGGTCACAGAATCACTAGCCAGGCCCTGTTGTCTTGGCAGGGAGCTGGCTATTCCTTCCAATGATCTCAAGGCTAGTTCCATTAGCTCTTTAGCCCGGAGAGTGAATCTTGCCTCAACTCAGCCTCCAAAGGGCTTCCTGAATTACCCACCCAGGTAACATGCCAGACAGACTGAGATTTCTAGGACCCTCTGTAATCTGAAGCAGTGAGGGCCCACTGCTGTATGAGGCTGAAGATTTACGGGATGAACTACCTGATCTCAATGCATCTGGAGGATCAAGTAGGCAGCAGGAAGAAGAAGGAACAACTCCCATGTAATACTTAAACTGGATTACAATCTGACATTTTCCTTTGCAATGACATGATATCCTTGCCTTTTCAAAGGAGAAAATCACCTGGCCAGTGGCCACTTCCTTATGCAACATGTCCCAGGCACCCATTCACTGACTGTTTGACCATGTCCTAATTTCAATAGCATTTGTCTTCTCTTCATCCCTTCCACTGCCTGCAGTACTAACAATCCAAAGCAGCATAATCCAGCAACAGCACTACTCCTCTTAGTCACAGGGCCAGACTTGACCATAGCTTGACTCCCTGGACAAATTTATGCAAGGGAGAGTATGGACCACCGAATGCCATTGGTCACTGCGAAAACTCATTTTAGCAAAGAAACAACTAACAATTCATTCTTTTCCAACATTACAAAAAAAAAAAAAAAAAAAAAAAGCAAGCAAACCTAGAGGGTAAATAGCATCCCTGTTGCCAGGAGTTAGTTGGTTATGAAACAGCCAAAGGTCAGCAGCAGATGATAGAAAGATCCCCATAATTAGAATAATCAATAGGCAGGCATTCAGCAATTGCATACAAAGTGAAGGATTCACCAATGCAGTGGCGATGCATGCCTGCTTCTGCAGCCCCACCACCCCTGAGCCAGTGGCTTGCACTCCACGTAAAATAAGAGGGAAGCTTCTGGTCTCTTCCACATCCATTCACAGACATGCAGGGCCTCCAAACTTCCAAAGGACAAAAACAGCAGGCGAGGATATCTATCAAGCATGCTCCCTCTGTTCCAGACATTAGCCATGCTAGTTCCCACCCACGTAATTACTCTTCTGTTGACCACCCACATTTATTCAGCTTTCAAGACATGACAACAAGGTCTGAGATTTGAGGCATGTACCTGACTCTCTCTCCCCTCCAGGGGTGGTGGAATCTGATCAGCAAAACCAATCTTCCCTGGATCACCCATAAAGGCACTAACCTCATCCACGTTCTCAAAAGCGTTGATGACATCATATGGCAAACAGGACAGAAGGTCAATCACAAACCAGGTCTTCAGGTAGTTCATGCGGATGAGTTTGGGGTCAGAAATCACCTCCCCAGCTGGTCCAACAAAGGTAGTATGAAAATTCAGCACAATGTCCACCAAAAAGATCACATCCACGATGCTATCCACCACCAGCCAGGCCACGTTGTTCTGCCTGGTTTTAAAGGAGACGTTGTAAGGGACCAGGATAGCTGTGTAGAAGGTTAAGATCAAGATGATCCAATCCCACGTGGTCTTAAAAACACAGTAATGTAAGATTATGTGAGGGGGAGTCTTTGGTGCCTCTTGCTTGTACTGGGGAAGGATGTCTGAGCCCAGCTGTAGAACCTGTACAGAAAAACATGGTCAAAAGAAAACTAAGTTAGGATTTCATTACAAGCATCTAACCAGTCAGCATCTGTCACTAACAAATACTCATGACACTCCAGATGGATCGTTAGGAGAAAGAACAGGTGCTAGAGAGGGTGCCTGGGTGGCTCAGTCAGTTGAGTCTCCAACTCCTGATTTCGACTCAGGTCATGATCTTGTGGTTCATGAAATCGAGCCCTGCATCTGGCTCTGTGCTGGGTGTGGAGCCGGCTTAAGAGTCTCTCTCTCCCTTTTCTTCTGCCCCTCCCCTACTTACACTCCCTCTCTAAAAAACAAAACAAAACAAAACAAAAAACAAATAAAAACAAAAAAACAGGTACTAGAGGAGTATGAGAGAATGGAGGTGAACATTATAATATAATCACAAGGAAACAATGAAAAACTATTATTAGCTTCCTGTAAGCCATGTTTTGTACCAAGTACCTCACATACACTTATTATCTCACTTAATTCTAAACACAAGCTGGTATTGTTGGCCAATTATTATTCCATGCAACAAGTGAGAAACTGAGGCTGAAGAGGATTAAGCAACTTAACAAATATTCACTGTTCTGTGCCAGGAGCTGTTCTAGAACTGCATGTACTGTAATGAAGGAAACAGTGTGATGCCTGCTCTTGTGGAGCTCAGTCTATAGACAAATCAAGGCAACTTCAAATTGTGATAAGAGCTAACTAAGAGGAAGGGGTAGGGACATGGTGACTGGATAGAATATGACATAAAGAGCAGAGGAAGAACAGTGCTTGAGCTGAAACTATTAATGACAACCAGAAACCAGCCATTCAAACTTGTGTGAAAAATTATCTGGGCAGAGATAATAACCAGCAAATAACCCCAGGAGGGACAACTTGATGTTTTCAGGCATAAAGGGCAGTCTGGTATGACCAAAGCCCACTGGATGGCAGGAAAGGGATGCCAGATGATCTCAGAGGGGGAGTGGAAACCAGACCACACAGGGCCTAGTGGGCCATGAGGAGGACTGGACTTTATTCCCAGTACGTCTGAGTAGAAATGGAGGGGGTTAACAAAAGAACATTAATCTGGTGCATGTTTTTAAAAGATTAGCCTGGCTACTGTGTAGATAATGAACTGAGGCAGAGATTAGAGGAGAGAACAGAATCAGGGAACTTATTAGAACAGCCTGGAAAAGAGATGAGGTGAAGGAGGGCACTTTGGGGATGAGCACTGAGTGTTATGTAGAAACTAATTTGACAATAAACTATTTGTAAAGAAAAAAAATAAAATAAAAAAATAAAAAAAAAATTAATTATAAAAAAATAAAAATAAATAAATAAATAAAAGATTAGCCTGGCTACTGTGTAGATAATGAACTGAGGCAGAGATTAGAGGAGAGAACAGAATCAGGGAACTTATTAGAACAGCCTGGAAAAGAGATGAGGTGATGGGGTAAAGTAGTCTGATTCTTTTTAATATATTTTTGAAATAAAACCAGCTGATGACTTGCTCATGGCCAAAAAGGAAAGGAAAGGAAAGGGAGCAGTGAAAGGTACCACTACTCTATCCCAAAACCCAGCAAGGTGGCTAGCCCAGAGCAGGCACTACAGGATGGTTTTTAAGTGGATGGCTGAACTTCAAGGTCATACAGCTAGCAAAAGATGAAGCCAGGTCCCAGACTAGGTCTAGATTAGAAACACATGCTGTTCCACATCAAGGTTACATTTCCCTAAATAACAGGCTTTTAAGGAAGCAGACTCAGTGAAGGATGAAGTCCAGAAAGCCTGGCTCCACGAAAGTATCCCAGATGGGTTTCACACTCAGTAGCCAGCTTTCAGAGGCCAGGCCAAGCTGGAAGGGACCCTCATCCCTACCCCCCAGTTGCTCCTCTGTGTCATTTACAGGTTCTTATAAATCTCTAGGTGAAACTTCCTCTTGTGTCATGAGAACTTCTTTTTTCCCCTACAGGATAAAGAGCCCTTAGTGAATATAAAATAATCTGAATATCCCTGTCTCCTCTATGATTGGCTCCAGGCCTTAAGTGAAGATGAGTGAAAGAAAGCCAGAAATTCACAGAGTGCCCAGCGTGCATCTTTGGGTACAGGAACTATTTCTGCCCCTCCCCCCAATGCACAGAGCTCTTCTAGGCTTGGGATTTTAACTTCTCTCCCCATGGAGAGGAATGTATACAAGTGTGGTTAAAGAAGTGTGGGCCCTGAAATTGCATGGCAGGAAAAGAGATTGACCTGTAAGAATAAAGCAAATAAAAATAAACTGTATGGGACTTCCACTTCCATAAAGATAAAGTAAACACACTTTTCCTACTCCTCTAAGTATAGCTAAACATCTTGGACATTATATTTAACACAAACTTAAGACTCTAAAAGACAGAGGAAAAGAGCAAACTGCCTAGGAATAACATAGTGATGTGTTCTCTGGGTTTTCTTTGTGCCTCATATATTCCCAGACTTAAAGCTAAAGAAGCCAGGAACCTGGAAAGACCAATGGGTGCAGACAAAAAGACATCCCAACAAAAGCCCACTCTCTGTAGCAACAGGAATGGGGAAGGGGCAGCCTTTGAAGACAGAAAACTGTTAGATAATAACTACTCTACCACAGCCAAGCAGCACAGTAATATCGGTGGCCCCATTCCTACCCAGGTCAGCAAAGGCTACGAGGAAGCTAGATTTCACCCATCTCAAGGCAGTAATGAAGCACCTAACCTCCTCCTTTTCCTCCTTTTCTTGACAGGGCTAGTGCTAGAAACGGCCCAGTAGGGAGCCTGGACTTCCATGTCCACCCAGCAGTAATGAAGCCACCTCTACCCACAACACTGGGAGGTATCAGTGTAAATTCAGGGGGCCAAGGAATTCTCACCCCACCCAGAGATAACAAGCAGCACCCCTAGGTGTCAATAGAGGCTAGGTTAAAAACCTAGACTTCTACTCCAACCTGGCAGAAATGAGGGGATGCCTCCCCCTTCTTCTGCCATACTCAGGTCAAAGGAAGCCACATGAAACAAAAGCCTTAAATAAGATCCAGAGTTCCATAATATAATTTCCAAAATGCCCAAGTTTCTACCAAAAATTGCTTGTTACACCAAGAAATAGGTAAATATCAAATGAATGAAAAACAACCAATAGGTGACAACATTAAGATGATAGAGATGTCAGAAATATTTGATGAGAATTTTTCAGCAGCCATCCTAAAAATGCTTGAACAGGCAATTACTAATATGCTTGAAACAAATGAAAAAAAAATAGAAAGTCTCAGAAATAGTAAAGGAGTAGAAAGTCTCAGCAAAGAAAGAGAAGATATAAAGATGAACCAAATGTCAATTTTAGAACCAAAAATACAATAACCAATGTTAATGTTTCGTTCAACAGCAAAATGTAGGGAAAAGAGGAAACAACCAGTGAACTTGAAGAGGAAACAACAGAAATTACCCAATCTGAACAACAGAAACAGAAAGATGTCTTACATAATGATAAAAGGGTCAATTCACCAAGACATAGAAACCCTGACATGTATACACCAGACAGCTCTAAATACATGTAGAGCAAAAACTGATAGAACTGAAAGGAGAAACAGTCCAGTCCACACACTTCTCTCACAATCTTTGATAGAACAACCACACGGAAAATTAGCAAGGATATAGCATAACTCAACAACATCATCAACCAACAGAATTTAGCTGACATTTATAAAACACTCTACCCACCAAGAGCAGAATGCTCTGTTAGGAGGATGAAAAGACACACGATGACTTAGAGAAGATTCTTTGCAAACCATATATGCCACAAAGAAATAGGACCTAGGATATATAACTTATAATGTAGAATCTCAAAGCTCAACAATAAAAAAAACAATCCAATCAGAAAATGGGGAAAAGGTACAAAGGGACATTTCCCCCAAGAGCATATACAGATGGCAAATAAGCCCATGAAAAAGATGTGCCATTTGGGAAATGCAAATTAAAATAATGAGCTATCACTACTCACCTATGAGAATGGCTAAACTAGAAAAGAGTGACACCACCAAAGGCTGGTGAGAATGCAGATAAACTAAAGGACACGCATATACTGTGAGTAGCACTATCAAATTGTACAACCACTCCAGGTAAGAGTTTTGCAGTTAAACAACCAAATAAGCAACCACCGTATGACCCAGCAGTTACAACCCTGGGCATTTATCCCATTAAAATGAAAACTTACACTCACACAAAACCCTGTACATGAATGTTTACAGAGCATTACGCCTAACGGCTAAAAACTGAAAATAACCCAGATGTCCTTCAACAGGTAAATGGTTAGATACACTGCAGTACATCCACACTACAGAAAATACTCAGCAATAAAGAGGTACAAACTATTGATACATGCAGTGAGCTGGACTGAAAAAAAAAAAATCCCAAAAGAGAAGGGTCTACACGATTCTATTCATACAAGATCCTTGAAAGGACAAAATTATACAAAGAGAGAACAAATTAACTGTTGCCAAGGGCTCAAGGAGGGCATGAAAGCAGAAAGGAAATGAGTGTGGCTATACAAAGGCACTACAAGGTATTCTTGTAGCGATGGAATATTCTGTATCTTTTTTTTTTTTTAATGTTTTATTTATTTCTGAGAGAGAGAGAGAGACAGCATGAACAGGGGAGGGTCAGAGAGAGAGGGAGATAGAGAATCTAAAACAGGTTCCAGGCTCTGAGCTAGCTGTCAGCACAGAGCCCGACATGGGGCTCGAACCCACGAACCGTGAGATTTTGACCTGAGCCGAAGTCAGACGCTTAACCGACTGAGCCACCCAGGTGCCCCAGAATACTCTGTATCTTGACTGTGTCAATGTCAGTATCCTGGTTGTAGTATTGTAACATAGTTTCACAGGAAGCTGCCATAATATATAGAGCCCATGAGATCTCTATGTATTATTTCTTCCATGTGGAATCTATAGTTATCTCAAAATAAGAAGTTTAATTTTAAAAAGTCAACAAGTGTAGATGAATTGC